TATAGTACCATGAGTTATATCAAGTAATGTAATTGGTCGCTTGAGAATTTTTTCTAACTCTGCTACATCATATACTCGAGCACCTGGAATGCGCATTTTTTTCTCCTAATCATTTATTTTTTGCCGACGAATTTTTGTGAGTCTATGTCCTTTTTTGGCTTGATTAAAATGCTCTATTACTCGTTCAGCTACACAGTTAAGTGTACTATCCTTTATAGGCATTAATCGATTGACATCTGGCTTTCGGATTTGATATAATCCATAAACTACTGCATTGGTATCAAGTCTTTCTACTTCAGATTGCTCACTGACTTCTCTGACCAGAAATTTTTTATCTATTCCTACCCAAAATCCTGGTTTCATTTTCTTTGTAAGTATAACATTGGGGCCACCCCTGATGTATTTTCCACCTGCCTTTTTTGATTCACGAATAGGCTCATATTTATCAATAATTTTAAAAGTGATCTTTGTTTGAGATTTATCTCCATATACAGAATCATTTCTAATAAATTTTACCCTTATTAAGAACTTGCCATTGTCAATTGCATTTAAAATTTCTTGGGCTCGCTCTTCAGTCATCTCAGCTTCATATTTTTTGGATTCTATTTCCGCAAACCAGGTTGAGAAAGCATATTCAGCACCATCTACTTTAAATATGTCTTTTGCTGTTTGAATACCCTTTTGCTATACTTCCCGATGCCATTCTTTATCTGAAAACGAAACCGGCCAAGGTACTTTTTTATCTAAATCTTTTGGATCTTTTTCAGACTCATCTCTTTGGTCAATGATTTCAGGAGTTGGGGTTTCCTTCCCCCAGTCTTTTCTTTGCCTTTTTCTGTATACTTGAGTAGTCGGGCCAAATTCTGCTTCAGAATCTTCTTCTATTGGTTGAGATACTTTGGTTTTCTTTTGCCATTTACTAGAAGACTCTTCCATTAAATCAAACCATTCTATATCTGTTTTTGGGACCTTTTTATTAATAATAGTTGGATTATTTTTTATCTTAGGATTCGCAAGCCAGTTAACCAAATCCTCTATAGATAAATGCATTGTTTGGCCTCTTTTGGATCCTTTCTTTTCACGAACATAGACTAGAGGAGATGGAGGATTAGATGCTGGCGATTGAGGTCTGGATATATTAGGGTTAGGTGGATGAACCGGGTTGGGTATTTGGGTTTGCTTACACTTAAATTTTCTGTTAAGATGATTTGTTAAATCACGAGTCTTTTTAAAGTCATTCTTTCTACATCGAGGACATTGGAGTACCATTTTTGATAGTAAGTGAATCAATTCAGTTCTTTGTATTAATAGTACGAAAACTTTTGTTCAAATAATAATTAATTATCCTCTTTCGATCTTTCAATTGGCGGGAGATAGCCTGAAAAAATTTATATCTATCCCGAAAAATTTACATCTATTCTATTTTTTTATATCAGGATTACAATCAGAAAGGCGTTCAAAAGCAAGAAAACAAATTAGCGAACTTAAGGTTAACAAGCTTCGGAAAGATAAGAAGACAAATTAGCAAACTTAAAGTTAACAAAAGTTTTCGTACTATTAATACAAAGAACTGAATGAAAAATAAACTGTAGACAAGCAAATCTACTAACTAGATTGCTAAAATTCAGATCAGAAAAAAAAGATATTAAACTAAACTCAATATACCAAAAACAGATTATAGTCTTTTTAGACTATTTGGATTAGAAGTTTAGAGAGAATTGCAAGATATACTAAAGTTGAAAATATGCTGTAAAGTAGAGGCTGAGGTCTAGTTGTAAACCTATAAAGACAAGTATTAGATAACAGTAGTAGAGGTTAAAAGACTAACTGCAAGTATAAGTTTTTTTAGACTTAGTATAAGTTATTAAATCTAAATCAGCTGTATATAAGATATAGAAGGATTTAGCATATTTATTTTTAAGAATAAAGGATACTAAAAAAGTAGGAGAAGTAATCTGACAAATAAGAATATCACTTTTAAGTATAATTATTTGGTTTTTTAATTAGTGCTTTTTTTCTTCTTTTCTTTTCTTAATTGTTTTTTTATTAAATGAGATTGTCTTTAATAATATTATATTATTAAATTAAAAAAAAACTTATATAAATTTGTATTACTTAACTAAATTAAATTTCTTTATACAACTTTTATATTTTATAAATACTAGTATATAACTCATATCTCTGGCATGTAGTTGTATAAAATGTATAAGCAGATTTTTTCGATTATACAGTGCGTACAACCTAGTCTCAGCAAATAAAATTAATGAAATTCAAATTGCTAATCCTTCTTCAAAAAAAATAGTAAACAAAAAATACTATCTTAAAATGTTAAATTAAAACAAGCTAAACACTTCCAAGTTCTTAAAATTTTTTTAAATCTATTTATTAAAAAGTTATAGTAGGTTAAAGTTATAGTATTTTTATAATTAAATATGAAATTTGGCCACCTTTTATATATATATAAAAAAGCAAATTTGGCCTCTTTAAACAATTAATTTAATTTAATATATATTAAAATTTTAAAATTTGGCCACTTTATATATATTAAAAATTTAAAATTTGGCCACTTTATATATAAATATTAGCTAAATTTTCAAATTGGCCTCTTCATATATATAAAAAATAAAATCTGAATTTGGCAACTAAAAATTTTTATTTGCTGCGACTAGGTTGTATGTACTGTAGATTTTATGAATTGTATATTAGTGATTGTCTTTTTGAATTATATAATAATTTAAATATTTTGTTTGTATTTAATTAATTATTTGAATGACAGAACAAACTCTTTCTGATGATCATCTGGTCAACAAAAAACAAGAAACCGAACTACAGTCAGCACTATAGAAGACGCTTAAGTAAATAATAAACTTGGTCCTATGAAAGTAGGTGTGTTGTTGACGAAGTACCAAGAGTGTAAAACCGAGATGCGGTTTACTTTAAACTGGTTTTTGTAGAGGTCAAGCTCTTCTTCTGGCGAACTCCTCTATTATATTTGGCATTCAAACCAAAAGAATATTTTGGAAACACAGAACGTCTAGGATGACACTAGGAGTATTACAAGCTTAAGGTATATCTATACAACTGTAAAACTTACAAGAAACAACCACAAAAAGTTTCATTGCCCCATCACTTTTTTCGAGAAAAATTATTAAAAAGTGGGCATCTTAGCTTATCCCCTCCAAAAGATCGATACATAAAATCACTAAAACAGTTGGTATTGTTTATTTCCCAAAGCAGATGTCTACGACGTGTTGTTTATTTAAGGTGTTTTGGGACAACTCAGTTACCAATAAACCAGTAGACTGCGGTTAGGTGTATTGGAGTAGAATGAGTAGGAGACTACATACGAAAATAGTATATTTGGGACACATAATGGTTACGTGCTTTAACTTCTGTGGACTGCAAATGATACTTTGAGATTACAGTTTCTTTTCTTTAACTACTCTGTCTAGTTTTTCTAGTTTAGTTTAGGATGTATTTTTCCTTATATAGGTTTTTTGATACATATTGGTAGATTTTTAGAATTTGCTATTAAAAATTCCAATAATATTTAACTATGAATAACTTTTGATACACTGGTCCGTTTTCGATGAAACAATTACCAAAATGTTCATCTCGATGAGACGATTCTAATGGACCCAAAATCATCAAAATTCAATCACAGAATTCTAAGGTCGATAGAGATTTGCATCATTTTAGGTGTTTTAGGATTGGTTAAACCAATTCTAAAACACCTGAAGTGAAACAAATCATTACCAATATCAGGATCCTATGATTAGATTTTGACGATTTTGGATTCATTAGAATCATCTCATCGAGACGAACATTTTGATAATTGTTTCATCGAAAACGGACCAGTAGATCAAAAGTTATTCATAGTTAAATATTATTGGAATTTTTAATAACAAATTCTAAAAATCTGCTAATATAATAGATACATATATTATTAGAGTAGAGTTAGATACAGAGCTTCTTTATTCTATTAATATGTAATTTTTTAAAGCCTGACACAGGCTCATAATTATGACCTATCAGATTCTTTTTTTCTTTTTTTACCTCTTTCATCTTTGTATTTGTTTTTTTTAGTATTAGTTTTCATTATTTTACTTTCCTCTTTAATATTAGTATTAGTGTTAATGCTTTTTTTCTTTTTTTCACTTCTCTACGAGAAGATGTCATCAGTTTGGTGATATCTTATTGTAGGGCAGTGGTCTGATAGTGTCTTCTG